GGGAGTCTAATACACGTGCGGGGTGGCACTGTAATAGAATGAACGCCGTATATCCTACAGCCAGGCCATGTAGGGACTGAATAGAAGATCAATAGAGCATATTTGATAGGAATAGACTCGAAATGAGAGGCAAATCAAAGCAATTTCGTAGGTTCTAAAGATGTATAGATACAAAATGTCTAGCTTTCATTCCCGAGTCCGGCGTGAAGAACAACGCATTATGTAAGCGCTCCGCTTGGGGATTCCCGCGGTCCTGGACTTCTGAACTTCTTCGCTTGTTCTCACATTTTCTACTCTTCTCGTTACTTTTGTTTTTACTCTACTCTGATTTACTAGGGTTACACGTGTTCCCGTGACTACCTCTGTTATCGCTTTATTCACCGCTCACTATCTCATCATGGCTGACCCAGAGGATGGAGATGATCTCTTTGCTGATCTGTATGTTTTCTACTTCGCCCTGAAAATTGAATAATGAGATTCTAATTGGACTTTCTCATTTTTAGCTATGATGCTGACGATTCCACCAATCGCACCACTGCAGCAGTTGAGGCACCGAAGCCTACTGATCTAGGCGCGACTAACCTTGCTCCTGCTGGAGAATCTGCTGGGCAGGATTTCGCACCTGCTCCTGTTGCCACATATGAATCGCACCCTTCTCAGCCTTCGGAGTTCGATCCCGGTTATAACAATGGCTCCGGAAACGCTTATGGCGCCCCTGCCACTACCCAGGCACCCCCTCCTGCCGAGCCCGAGTCTCACGGAACAGGAATCAAAGAAGACGGGTAAGTCTACTAATTGTGTTTCTTTTACATCTTATGTTCGAACTCTACCCCAATCGCATGTATCTGTTTGGTTTCGGCCTTTACCTCGCCGATACAAGCCTAGGTGGCGTCAATTGCTATTCATGAGTTCAACTACAATTCTGGGTGCAGGAAGGAGTGTCCTAGCTACGGGTTAAGATTTCTCTGGGCTGTGGACAGTGGGCTGTTTGGGGAAAAATTCGCTGGTTGGTGGACGACGCGCACGTTTCAACCTTGGAAAGGAGGGAAAACAAAATGCGGGCTCGGCGACCAATCAACTTGTCTGTTCGAAGAACCCTATCGCGCAGCCATCAATGTCTCCCAAAGGTGATCAGCAGATCATATGTTGGGATACTCCGACATTTGCCCCCATGGAATCAAGCATAGGCTCAAAGGCACATCCCCTGGAGCCCTTGGTCAAGACAATTGCTTTCGCAAATCAACCATACGCCACTCACGGACCTTTGTCACAAACGATTCATATATAGTACAGCCGATACTATATAGTTTCCTGTCGATATACCTTGATAGGGCAGAGCAAGAAGTAGCTATCTAGCTTGAGACTCTGTGTTAGACAAGGCATGGGTTTTCACGAGTCAGACAGACAGACAGTGACAATTCACTTTTTACGACTGAAATACTTGCACCTCTACGCTTCTCATCTCGCCTGTCCCCGGCTTGAGCAATCCAGAAAGAGGAGGACATGAACTCTGCATCCAGGCCCATGTAAACCAGTGGGCTTGACGTTAAACCCCGGTCATGAACATCAAAAAGTTGCTCAAGACCATCCAAGTATACATTGACGTGACTACGAGGTTCAAAGATTATGTACCGACCTAGCACGTACCCTGCTTGTTCGAAGGCAGTTGTGTCCAGAATAGCGAGGCTCTTCTCACAGTCGAATAGCCCATGAATAGCAATACCTCGCCACCCACCTTTGCACATTGATTCACTTCCTCTACCCTACCCCCCTATCATTTTTCCCCACATTCATTATTTTCATCATGCCGTTCATTGAATGTGATATTCCTGGATATTCAATTCATCATGTTTTCGCTGAAGCTGCTATCCCTGAAGCTACGCTGACCAATGACAATCTGCTAACCAATGACAATCTGCCTACTAGAAAGATGTTCATCGGTGGTCTGAACTGGGAAACTACAGATGGTAAATATATCTTTTCTACACGGAAAAACGCGGCATCTGGTTGACATATCTCGATCTTCATTTAGAGTCCCTTCGTGACTATTTCTCTCAATTCGGTGAGGTTCAGGAGTGCACCGTCATGCGGGATAGTGCCACTGGACGCTCTCGTGGCTTTGGGTTTTTGACTTTCCGTGACGCCAAGACTGTCAACACTGTGATGGTGAAGGAGCATTATCTGGATGGAAAGATTGTAAGAGCTTCCTCGCAGTTGGGACAATTAGGAACTGTTGCTGACCAATGTCGAAGATTGATCCCAAGCGTGCTATTCCCCGCGACGAGCAGGAGAAGACTTCAAAGATTTTCGTTGGTGGTGTTAGCCAGGAGGCTACTGAGCAGGACTTTAAGCAATTCTTTATGCAGTTTGGCCGTGTTGTGGACGCCACTCTTATGATGGACAAGGACACCGGACGTCCCCGCGGATTCGGTTTCGTCACTTTCGACGGCGATGCTGCTGTTGAGAAGGCTCTTTCCCGTCCTCTTGAGATTCTGGGCAAGCCAATTGAGGTCAAGAAGGCACAGCCCCGCGGCAACTTGCGTGAGAACAACGATCAACGCGGAGGCCACCGCAACGGAGGATACCGCGACCAGAACCAGAACGATGGAGGTCAGCAGCAGCAAGCCCCTCAGCAAGGACAAGGTAGTAGTTCAATGACTCCTCAAATGATGGCTCAATACTGGCAACGCATGCAACAGTACTTTACCATGCTTCAGCATCAGATGGCCGCCGGTCAGGGAGGAATGCCCGGTATGAACATGGGTGGCGCTATGAACATGAACCCCGCTATGATCGCGCAGATGCAACAAATGCAGCAGATGCAGATGCGTCAGCAGCAACAGCAAATGGGTGCCCAGCAGCAAGGTACTATGAGCCCCGGCCCTCAGAGCCCTGGCTCTCAGCAGGCCATGCCCAACATGATGAACCCCTCTATGATGCAGCCCAATCAAGCCAATGCCCCCGTTGGTCCAGGCAGCGATGCCGCCAGCCCTGTGCCCCACGCCGCCGCTGTGGCCGCCAACTACAACAACGGAACCCCAAACGCAGCCAGAGGACAGACCGGACCTGGGTACAACGCGACCGAGCAGATTGCTTTCGAGCAGCAGAAGTACGAACAGCAGCAGATTAACCGCTCCATGGATCCTCGCGGTTTCTCTCCTTACCAGCAGCAGGGTGGCCCAACTTCGTGGGAGGGCATGTACGATGAAGTTCCTCAGCCTCACGTCCCGACTGGACCAGCAGGTATGAGACGCAATGGAAGCTCGGGTAGTGGTATGTGATTCTTACGAGTCTTTGCATATTGTGCCTCTTTCATCCCAATTCCATTCTTATTTTTTATTGGCTCGCATTAACTAACACCTCTCTCAAACAGGAACCACTCCTCAGCCCCAGAGTACTGCTCCTGCTAATGCTCCAACTGGACCCCGTAACGCCGGCAAGCCTGGTGCGAACTACCGTGGTGGCGGCCGAGGTGGACACCGCGCTTATCACCCCTACCAGCGCTAATCTGCTCGTTGTGGTTCCTTCAAGTGACGCATCTAGCATCTAGTCTCTTCTCGTTTCAGATACGACTTCGTTTCTTTCATGTGTTTTTTAAGTCTTTTTTTTTTACCCGAGGCCAGCGATTTTGGGCCTCAGGAATTGATAATTGCGTGGCCGCCAGCCAAGTCGAAGTGGAACCTCCTGAGCTGGTTGTATTGGCGGTGCCTCTATCCTTCGACTTCACTTCAAGGTTATCTAGTCCGGTTTTTTCGTGTTCGCGAGTGGCGAGGTTCGAGTTCAGCCTTGGAAAGCTAGGGTCGATGTTATCCGTGCTAAGCGGGAGGGAAATCGTTCGGTGATCGGGGACAGCGAGTCTTCAGCCTTCATTCGAGCTGGGTGGTACACTACTTTTTTGTTGTGGAATTAGCCTCACAATCAAAAGTCGAAAGTGCTCATGGAGTTATTTTGTAGATGGCCGCGTAGGCGGCAGAGCGTAGCTAGGGCGTAGGACGGAGGGTGTTCGTTGTTGGATATACGGAGGGTTTTCGGTGCTAGCTCTCTTGCGGTTTTTGGTTGTTGGATGCTTAGAAGTCCGACGAGGTTCCCCAGTCACGGTAACTGGCAACTATTGAGTGGGTGGGAACCAGCGGGACAGGCCACAGCCAAGCCACATAGAGCTATCGTGTATGTTTCAAATTGCTGCATGGAATTTGTATATACTTTTTGGATAAATATCCACGTATTTTTGAACTCAGAATAGTCAGTTTTATGGCGTTGTGATCAAAACAATTCCATGGGCTGTCTTCTAGATAGGGCCATGTAATCCACGTGACTTGGCGATTGCCCAGTTCACAGATATATATCTGGAAGGTTTGCTAGGCCCTATAACTAATATAAGCACCCAACTTCCAACATGCTATCAAAGCATAGAATTACCAAGTATTTTTTTTTCACAAGCCTGTTCAGACAGTTGACTCTCCTCACTTTGAGTTGCCCTATCTATGTTATCCATCCATTTCGCTTTCACCATGCAAATCAACATTTCTGTCTTGTCAGACTTGTCTTAGCCGGAGAATCATATGATTACAAGTTATATAGCACTCAAAACTACATGATATTATTTGGTCACAACATTCTCATCTCGCCAGTATTATAAGTCTATGAACAAGATTAAAAAACCGAATATGGAAGAACTGCTCATCAATTGCAAGCGGTGATATAGATGATAGATGGTAAACATGGTAATGAATGAGGTATGTATAGAGACAAGATGAAAAAAGAATGGAAGTGATATCACACAAGAAGATGCATCTAAAGGCGGGAAGATCAAATGCCCAGCCGCCATTTTCAAGCACGCTAAAAAATCGTCAAAAAAAAGTAACTCCCAAGCCACAGCACGCGTGCCCGATCTAAGATTGTCGAGGAAGGTAAAATATGGAAGCAAGAAGAATTGTAACGTCATATCAAGTCTGTTGACGCTTTCGTTGATTGTTTTTTGTTCTTTTTTGTTTCTTTTTTTAATATGCCATTCCGTATCCCGGAGCTGTGGGACGACGGCCTTCGATCGAGCTTCGCGAGCGATGGCTGTCGGGGCTTATGCTGCGCCCGTGCGCGATGCCGTAGTCATTGCGAACTAGGCCATCGCGTTCGTTGTTGCCAGGTGATCCGGCTCGCTTGGGCTCGTCTCGGTAAGACTCGTAGGGGCCGGTGAAGTTGAAGTTGCTCATCTCGGCGTATTGCTTGCGTTGTGGGTGGTCCATCAGGAGGGAGTCTCGGGCGTCCAAGGGGGTCAGGTCGTCGATGTCGCGGTTTGCTTTTTCTATAAGGAATCGTTAGTATGTGCACATGTTGGGATGGGACTTGGATCGCAAGGTATCTTTTGACTTACCAGCTTCTCTTCTCCGCTTAGCATGCGGGTTCTCGCGGCAGCAGCTGATGAAGGCGTTGACTGCGATGAGAATGGCGAGGACTGCAGTGAGAGTGGATTGCACGACAATGAGAACAATGCCAGTGACGGTCTTTGTTGTTTGGGAAAGACCGAGTTCTTCGACGAAGACAAGGACGCAAGCAATGGACAGAACGCGGACGACCTGGACGGCGATGTTGATTCCCATTGACGCCTTGGTGGCATACGGGCGGCTCCACACTAGGAGTCCCAACAGAAGGATTTCGCAGGCGAGCTGGCCGACGCTTTGGAACAGACCGTGACCCTCGCCACCGGCGATGATGCAGCCCTTGACCAATGCGTACACTATGACGGGAATGAAGAGCCACCAGAAGTCCTTCTTGTAGTTATCGTAAAACAGACTGTATTTTTTCCAAGTTTCCTTGTCCTCGTACAGGCTGTCGGTATCTCCCTCGACCTTCTTGTACTTGCGAGCCATATAGACAATGCGAATAGCGAAGAAAAGAAGAACTGCTGTGAAGAGAGAAAGGGTTATAGCAGCCAGTAGCTTTGCTGCCCACGAGTCACCCTTTCGGAGTTGGTAGACACAGTATAGCACCCAGATACTGTATAGCACCAGGATCATGTTGGTGATTGTCCGCGCCATCAAGCCCCAATAATCCTTCCGGAAGTCGGTCAGCTTGTTGGGGAAGTTTCCATACAGCGCCCACAGCTCCAGGACGACCTTCATTAAAAGAATACCGACGACAACCACAGCGATAACGATGGCGAAGATCAGGAGAACCATCATGAAAACGTCGGCAGAAGGAACCATCAGTTCTTGAGCAACTTGCTTTAGGTCGCTAACCGTGCTCGAGGATTTACTTTCGTCGCTGCTCGAAGAGCTGTTTGAAACACTAGCATCGGCAGAGGCATCAATTGAGCGAGCAACCATCGTGCCGAATTCGATGGTGTAATCCCAGCTCCGTTTCGTTGTGTTGGTGGATGACGAGCTGCTTTGCGTTGTGGAGGAATTTTTCAGGTAGTCATAGCTCTCCGTGGTCAAGTTACCACCTGTGGACTCCCGGAATTTGTCGATGGACTGCAGCAGGCCAGGCCAAGGGATCATACCAGTACTCCACATGAAGTTCGAGGAGAAGCTGCGATAGACTTGGGGGTAGGCAACACTGAGCATGCCATTGGTGGCCATGGAATGGAACCAGCCCATTACATCGCCAAATCCAGGGCTGGACGACGGTGTTCCCACAGTTCCCGCCGAGCCGATGGCAGAGATACCGCTCAGTGCTAAAGCGCCTGCCGCAATGCCTGCCGAGGCATATTTGACCCCGACGACGTTGGTGGAGTGGCCGTTGCTCAGTTCGGACTGGATGCACGCCACGTTCTTCTGGGCTCCCTTGGACTTAAGGACAAGCTTTGCCTGACCATCCAAGTCGGGGATGTTGAATGCGATACCAGGGATCTGGCTAGCGTATTGAGACGGCACCTCCATGGATCCGCTGGCCTTGAAAGTACCCTTAGGGACGGGGCAAAGTTGGTCAACATGAATTTCCGTGCCACAGGGATCAAATTCCTTCTTGTAGAGTTCGTTGCCATAGGCAGTGACGGTGATAGACGCCGACACATTCTGTTCCATCGCGTTGGTACCAGCCACGTCGAAGACAACTACTCCAGTAGAGCGAGTGTAGGTAACATCCATCTTTTGGACATTGATTGCGGAATCGGTCATGCACAGGTTGAATCCGCTCGTGGATAGGGTGTCGGCTGCCAGGGCTTGAGGCACGATGGCCAGGCCTAGCAGAGCCCAGATGAAGTTCTGCATGTTGGCCAAGCACAATTGATGTTCGATACGATATATCAATCTGAATCTAACAGTTTGAACCAAGGAGGTGCGTATTCATCAAGGGTGTAGGTATCGATTGGCGCGATGATCGGACGGGTTGGTAACGATATATGGAGCGACTGTGGGTAAGTCACAGGGGGGGGGGGGAGCAAAAGGAAAAGGGAAAGGCAGGATCAACCCGCTATAGAAAAGAAACCAAAAGATAAATGATAATAAATGAGTCGAAAGGGTCGCGAGGACCTGGGATTGTGAGACACTGGTTTTCGAGCAACCAGGAACTGTAAATAACGAGAGACAATTGAACGAGGGTGGTTGGAGAGAGGAAGCGATTGGAGATTAGTGAATGGAATTTCCCCCTCTCGCAATGCGATGATCTGTGAAAAGAAGAAAAGAGAGGGAGGAAAGTCTCGACCGTATATTACGACTTTACGATTAGTCTAAACTTGGCCCCTGAATTTGGGACTGATTGGCTCTGATCCCGTTTCAGTCTAGACCTCACACTCGGTATTGTTACTATTTTCATTAGCCTGGGTATTTATACCTTAATTTTATTATCTTTAGTTATTATCTTCGTTATTTTAATTATTTTACCAAAAATATCTACTGATACTCCTGATACTGAATTAAAAGGAGTTGAGGTACACAAAAAACAGTTGAAGCTCAATAATTTAAAGCTTTCCTCCAGATCCGACCCAAGGGTTGCCACCTGAGTTACCACGGTACCAGTCCAAGAATCAGCTCAAACGAGGTGGCACCAAAAGTTCTCCCGGTCGCCCACCCATGGAATCACATTCCTCCCCTAAACAACGCCACACCAGCCACACGGGATGTCAATTACCTCCACGGAGTAACCCTTGCGAATTATGATTTGATTATTCAAATTAATTCAAATATATTACGGAGTTCGCATAAGGCGATGGTACCTGAGTATCTATGGTCCGCTTCTTCATATGTTGTAAATCGAACATCCCTATCACGGCTTATGTATGACGTGTGCCCCTCGCGGGGTGTCGCCAGCCCTGGATGAGAACAAAAAGCTGCAGGGCTCAAGCATGACTGAAATGCCGATCAAAGATCCTCGCACAATCCTAGTTCTAGACTTACTCAGTGGGCCCCTTACAGGCTTCTGGATGCACACATAATGTTCTTGGTGAAAATCTTGTTATGATGCACGCGACCGATCAAGTCTAGAGCACTACAACATACATAGGAATCACATTGTTCTGTGTGCACTGCACACACATCTCAGAAATTATGAAGGTGTAAAACATAAAATTTGAGACCTATGTGGGTTCACCCTATGGTCCGATCATCAATGTGAGACAAGGCCCGGCGCTGCGGTGTCGCCCTAAATCACAGATATTCTATTCTTGTCTCGTCTGACAGCCTATAGCACACCTCAATTATTATTATGATTATCACTATGACAGCCTCCCACTATGCTTACTGGTTGTCCATACATAATTCATAGAGTCTGTACCCTGTTGCTAGAGAATAGCTACGGAGTAATCCGTGAAAACTTTGCAGATATTTCTCGGATTGGATTCATTTCATGGTTTCAGGTTAATTGTTACCAATGAACAAAACCCTTTGATATTAAATGGAGCAACTACAAAATAGGGGCCCGTCCCCCGGAAGCGGTCCCACCAAAAAATCTTAATGAAAGTAATATGAAAAAAAAAACTTCCTACTTGAGAGTTAATTACGAAGTATAAAGTAAAGATCTAAGATCTAAGATGAATCGTAACTAGATACTTTCCTTAAACTCCTCAACTATTCGAATATTGTAAGAATGACCTACTACGTATCCAGCACTGTGTTTCACCTAAACACGACATAAGACTTTGACTTTAATATTAAATATGTACTCCGTATCCAAGCTCGAGATAATGTCCAAGATAATGCTACAATATATGTTTCAATGCCTTGTTTCCTTCTTACAGTTATTGACAAAAGCTGAAATAACTAATAACGGGCGCGAACAATAGAACATCAGTGATGTTTAAGCATAATTCTTACAAATGACCATGTGTAACCTGTAAACAGCGGACCTGTAAATGGCCTTTTCGATCAAGATACGGTCTATGCAGCTGAGCTAGAGGGTATCTTACTCGCACTCAGCCAGATTAAATATGGCCTGGTGAGAGAGAGCTTGCCGCTATCTCGATAGCCCTGTAGAGCAACGCCTGGAAATCCTTCTCCTGGCCATGATGGATACCCTCCACGTTGACCCAGCAAGGACCCGTAGGACTTCTTGGTTGGTCCCGGCTTTGGCGACTTCCTTAGTCCCTTGTGAAGCTAACAAGAGCTCCGGGTTTCGCTAGAACAGGTAGCTTATACCATGAATGGGCAGCTCGCTTACCGATTACGTTACCCAGAACTAGAAGACTTAACTAAGGTTGCCGACCCACTTGTTCACCATATAACGTAGAGGTCACGTTGTGTACTTGTAAATAAATAGTTCTTTTCGCTGAGATTACTATGCACCTAGATCATAAGATCCCCTGGAATACAGTGTCATCACACTTTTCCTTCATAAAAGACAACCCATGCATACGCAAAAATGATCTCATCATCCATGATCGCTTAGCTGATCGTCAATCCGCCGAGTTCACCCATTTCACGCGGACTCTTATCTCCACCGTCGAGGAGTTCTCAACCACTGAGCGAGCCAAATACCCACGTCCTGGCGCTCTACCAACATCCGGTCCTCTATACAACTCGTCTATTCTACCGACCATCGAAGAGAAGTACCAGCTTGGACCACACCAGCCCAACTCTGTGGAGTCAAATCCACTATGTGAGGAGTTCCAGGATATCGACTACTGGATCAACCAAGCCCCTTATGGCACATCTACTGCGCATCTAGCCGATGCAGTAAAAATGCTCATTATCTCGAATGAGATGCTCGCTCTGTTACGTCTTGCAAACCACAAGAAAGTTCCACTGGAAGATCTAATCCATCTAAGCTGGGGTCACAGCTTTGGTGTGGACCATGTTGCTGACGTGGCTCTGGAAATTTACATGCTGCTGAATATCGCTGCTTCTGTCAAAGCCAATGCGAAACCGGGATCTGCGAATGATACAGGTTATCTGACGGAGACGCAGCCGTTCAGAAGGTTCATTGATTGTGGATTGAAAGACTTTGATTTTCCAGCTCAGAATATACCACATCGGTTGTTTTGGAATGTGAAGGGCATTTCTGATTATTCTGAGATTCCATCGTGGGACCCATTGAGCCTTGAAAGTGATGATGAGAGGAGGGACATGAAGGAGTATCTGAAGATGTGCTTTGAGTTATTATATCGATACGACCTTTTGATGAGGGAGATGGGGAAGGATCCTGAGTGGAAGGACAAGATCCTAGGGATACTGCGTCTGTGGGGGGCAAGGTCTATTACTATGGACGAGACAGGGTTCTGCTTCATTTGACCTCTATCGTCACCTTGTGCGCATTGGGGTTGAATATGTAATTTAGAAAAGAAAGAGCAAAAGGGTGGCACAACACCGTCCGTCATTATCGCACTACCCATATTTATCTACGTGATTTGGAGGTTCTCACAAGTCCACCATATCTAATTAGGGAGGGCTAAGGTAATATTCAAGTGGAAAGGCAGCCGTTTCTGACCTCAAAAGCGGTCATTTTCGGCGTCAACTTTATAGGTCTTTATATTTTAGTTGTAATTTATATAACAAAGGCAGAAATGAGAGAGATATACTCCGTAGGTACTCCATAGGTGCTCCGTACTTCGTACTACCTTCCTGTTAAAGCCATGCACTCAGCAGAAGATATATGATCCACACCGCCTACTACATCGTGACCGACAACCGAAAGACTCCCATTCCAGCCCCTCCCCCCCCCCCCTCATCACCTCTCTCCTCAGGCACAAGCTCGCTACCATGAGCCCCGAGGGGCTCGAGAAGCCCGAGATCCCAGATAAACCCGAGAAAAAATCTCGTCGACGTGGGGCCGAACTCGATCCATTCCTTCGCACCCGGCTCTGTGCGCTCAGAACTACAGCCAAATGGACCTACAAACAGATCCAGAACGAATACCCACATATTCCCCTCTCAACCATCAAATCAACCATTCTCCGAGAGAGCAATCGTGTCAATAACCACTCACAAGCCCGCTCTGGCCGACCGTCAAAATTGAAGGAGGAAGATCGAGCCCGAATCCGTGAGGCTTTCCATGCGAATCCTCAAGTTACATACGATGAACTGCTTGCGGTGGTTGATTATAAAGTTGGCAAGGAGTCGCTCCGTCGGTTTTTGAATGATGATGGGCTGAGGAAGACACAGACGCCTGGTCGGTCTTCTTTGGCTGGGCAAGGAGCTACCAAACAAGTTGATGGGGCTCAATCTGTTCAGTCATATGACACACCTCCCGCTGGCTGGGTTGGTGATTTCGGGTCTGGTCTATTACCCAGCGAGTCAGACCCTGCATCTGCTAGAGCGAGTCAAATCGTCGGCAATTAGACGACTTGTTGAAAGAGATACCCTGTGATTTTCGGCGTTGTGCGTTCATTTGGCGCTGCATGCTCCATTATTCAACCAAATTTATTCAGCGTGTCATGACAAATATAAGCTATATCGGACATACGGGCATTGGAGTGAAACTTTCATTGCAGGGTTTGTTTTGAGCAAGCTATTATATGGCCTCAAATGCCATATTGCGGACAATTGGTCCCTATTTGCATTTATATAGAAATATCTAAACAGTATGTTCACTTCAATATTACAGTATTATCAATCCAGTAGCATTAATAACTTCTTGATTCCGGGAGCCTTTGTCAGGTCATTGTTTTTAGGCGGCTTGCTTGTATCATACCAATTGTCTCAAATATAGAATGAGAGAAATTGCAGGCAGCATGCTAGCAGAATAGACCCGTTTATGATCCTAAGATAGAAAATCAAACGTACTACGTGGTCAGACTGAAGATCTGGGTAAATCATAGCCATTTTGGGGTAAGTGTTTT